TGTGTTCACAACTTTTGAGACTCATGAACTAATGGATAACCTTGAATTTGAGTGTGAATGTTTTCAGACTTTTCTTAGCGGTTTCGATTCAAAAATACCAAATTTCACTTTTTGGTAAAATAGTGATTGAAATGGCAACATTTATTTTTTATTTTATTTTTTATATTCTTTTTTTTTTTTTTTTTTTTTATAAAGTACATCCTCTTCAGCCAACCAAATGAGAGTTAAGAGATCAATGCACTGGACAACACTGAAATGTTGAAATGAAATGCAATGTGAAAAGGGCCTTTATATGGACAGTTCACTTAAAAACGAAATGAGCGTCATCATTTACTCACCCTCATGTTGTTCCAAACCCATGAGACTTTGGTTCATCTTTGAAACACAGAGTAAGATATTTTTTATGAATCCTGAGAGGTTTCTATCCCTCCAGATAACCAAAAGAACCTAAGTCTTGTGGGTTTTGAGGGTGAGTAAATGATGACAGAATGTTCATTTTTGAGTGAATTATCTCTTTAAATTATGCCTTTGTGAATATATTAATTTTATTTTGTCAATATCAATCAGGTTCCACATTTATGTATCATATTTTGTGAATATATTAATTTTAGCCTATTCTGAGCCCATACTGAAATGCCACCAGCCCATGTCTTTAAAACATTCCCGTTGTAGTATGTTTCCATGCAGTTTTATGATGTTGACTGACAGATCCTCTGGAGCTGTGGTGTAGTCCTCGCTGTGTTCTTTTGTTTCTTCTTCCTTTTTTTTTTCTTGGAAAATATAGACAAACTAGGAAAAATGCACAAGAAATCAGTGTAACAATCACAATATGCATGCTGAGGAGGAACATAGTGAACATTGACCTTGAATGTATGGTGACTTTTTACGAAAGGAATAAATAAATATCTATATATTAATAAAACATTTGTTCAAATGAGCTTTTGATGATTTTTAATTTGTCATCTTGAATTTACAATTATTTGCATTGAGTTTCAATGGGTGCTGCACATCTACAGCCAACTCAACAGAAAATACTTTTATTGTGATATTCATTTATATTTTATGATGCTATTTATTGATACATTATTTGATAAAATCTATAAATTTAAATTAAACCAAATAAATATGGCATGAACAATTTTGGGCCATTAATGGCTAATCTTACACCCTGAACTACTTATTCCGTTTTTTTTTTTTTTGGCTTTCTCACTTGCATCCACATACCGACAAGGCAAGCTCAACTGGGTCGTCCACAAATAAAATGTCATCTTTTAAGATGGACTATTAACCAATGTTTCACGAACCTGAAGAGCACACAGTTTTAATCTAGCGTAATGTTTGTGTATCTGTGCATCATGACGTCGTGTCTGTATGAATACGTGACCTGTCCATGTGTTTGTGTCTGTGCTTGCCTGCTCGCCTTTTTTCTCTTCTTATCTTCTAAGATCTGATCTATTTGAGATGTATAAGACGTGTCAGTTTTATAAGCATGCATTTTATATAAAGAACTGTGAAGGATTTGATATTGAAATGTGCTCTTCAAGAGTTCATTGTTTTCCATACACATCTCTGTACTAATTGGAACTCCTAACCAAACTGCTATGGGCAGACCTTTCATTTTGCACTATATTTTGAACCCATGTCATTTCTAGAAGTGCGTTATTGACTCATCTACGAACATAAAATTGTGACGTCATCCATGAGCAGTCCAAACAAAAGCGCCATGTCACAGAGCAAGTAACCTACAGTACGGCCATCATGCACAACACTAACAGTCATGTGAATGCGGTGGAAATGTAGCCATGCATAACCTCGGTCTGAGCTGAGCTCTCAGGTACAAACCCCTGGACCTCTCTTTACTTTCCAGTTTGGGTCCTGAATTGTCCCGGTTCTGAGTGTTGCAGGACCTCCGTAAGTCACCTGCCTCCCATCGCTGCTCACCCAAACCAATCATGCCCTTTCTTTTATTCTTTTGTTTTGATTCGTTTTCGACTCACATTCGCTGTTCGGCTTAAACGGGCAGTAGGGCTTCACAACTGTTTCGTCTCATACCGCCACCTGCCTCTCTGGTTGGTTTTTGTGTGTGAGCTGTAGTTCGTACCAGCCAGAGAGGTCATATGTTGCCAGGAAATGATGTTGGCGCTGGAGGTAACCCCGAATCTAACTCTTGCATGCATCTATCAATGCTGACAGAAGTAACTGTGTCTTGTTCCATTTGCATGCCTGCTCCAAACACCCTTCATAGACTCTTCTCCAGATACCTGTTCATAAGTATATGTCAAATGAATCACCGTATGCCTTTCAGCAGTACCTTTCTTCTGTATCCCAAATCAAAGTGCAGTAGACTTTAAGCTGTTTTTGTGTCGTAGTTCAGTGGGTCACTAGCGCGGGCCGTGTTGTGGGCGTACTGACCGTGTTTGTTCTCCACCCCCTCTCCATCTAGTGACCGGTCCCTGGAGGTCTACCTCAGGCCAAGCATCATGGATGACCGATCCGCTCCTCTCTACTACTAGAGGGGCCATGCAGTGGCCTGTGCACTTTGTCGCCCACTTCTGTTCTGTCTGTGTCATTGCAACAGCATGTGGCGGCAGAGCACATGCATTTACCCACAGGGCAAGGAGGATAGAGCTTGTTGTGTCCTGAAAGGATTAGAATAATGATCTCTGTAGCTACATAATTACTGGTATTTGTATACACCAATTCATGTGTTTCAAAAGTTAACAGCTTTTCTAAATGGTTTTCTTAATGTTAACAAATCAGGCACAACCGAAATGATAATGACAGTGTGCTTTTTTTTTTTTGGAGGGGAAAGTGTATGCTTGATTGTGTAAATATGAGATCTTTTACTTGAATGAATGTGAAAATGTAAAAAAATAAAATAAAATAAAAGTGAGTAATTTGGTAGATATTATTTCTATAAATGCAGTTCTTAAGGGAAGCCTTTCTTTTTCTGTCAGTTATAAATGTTTTGTGGCACATGCCTCTTTCACTCTTTTCAGAAAGCTGATTAAACTTCTTCACAGGGGTCTTGATGCTGTGGTCACTACATATTAAACACACCACAGTGCTTTGCTAAAGTTCTAGTGTTGCCTCTGTGAATCCTCTGTCTTTGCAGAGATCTGTACAGTATTTTAGATGCAATATATAGTGCAGTTTCTCATGCAAGCAGCACCGACACCGGAACTGTGCCTTTTCCTGCTGTTTTGTGCTCAATGCGGTTCTAAATATCTGTAACTCCACTGGTGTATGTAAAGGGAATTGCTTTAATGTGATATTTTGTTGTTCCATTTGATTTTTGTACTATTATTTGCTTCTACTGTACTTTTTTGTTCTTTTCTTAGAAATTTCAATGACTGTTATAGATATATAAGGGGGTTTATTTGTCTTCACCTGCTGCTTTTGCTTTTCCACATACTGAGCAATACCGCTTATTAAATATCAAAAATAGACTTGCTGAATAATAGTGAAAATAATTCAATTGCAGGTTCTGTAAATATATTTTTTTATTTTTTGTTTCTGTTTGAGGGACTGAAAAGCACTAGAGCAGTATATATAATCACTGATTTTCAAAATGTTACAGGAAAATACAATATCAGCTAGTTTAGATACTGATATGAATTGCATGTTTTATATATTAGGACATCTACTGTGGATCGTGCAAGGAAGGCGGGATCGTTGTGTGATTCTTCGATGGAACGATTTTGTGTCTGATCAGCTTTAAAACCAATTTTATGTTTTATTTTTGTTTTGGCTTTTCTGTTTATTCTTATTTATGGAGAACTGCAAATGTTTGTGAACATTCTTGTCTTTTCTGAAATAAAAAAGCAAATGTAAACTGCCACACTTTCAGATTATATAAGGATTTTTTATGTTTTAACCTAGAAATTTTGTTTCTTCCATTTAACCATATAAATTTTTTTCAATTATATTAATTCATATTAATTTTCTTTAATTCATATTAATTTTCCATTAAACTTTTGCCTCAACTTATAAAATTTTTTAAATATTAACATTTTCATCTATTAAATTAGAAAAAAAATGCAAAACAAGCATTTTCATTAGTGGTCTCAGGCCATGTCCACGCGTACACGGGTATTTTTATAAACTGAGTTTTTCCTTCCGTTTTAAAAAAAATCTCCGTCCACATGAAAACGCAAACGCATGCTATGAAGCACTGTCAAGAGCATGCCAAACCAACAGGTGGCGATATAATCTCAACCGTAAAGCCATGTTGGCCAATCAGTAGCCTGAAAAAGTTTCCAGTAGGCGGAGATAACAGCGCAGGCGCCGACGTCACAAGCCAAATACTCCAGTTTCGCTGTCTACATAACACTGCAACCCGAGTTTTTGAAAATCTTCACCCTGGCAGGCGTTTTCAAAAATGTTCGGTTTCAGTGAACTGGTGCTGCGTTTGCGTGTGGACGAACGGCCTAACCGCATAGAAAAAGCTGCGGTTTTAAAAATAACCGCGTTCGTGTGGACAGGGCCTCAGATTGAGCACATGCATATATACTGTATATACCAAGTTCTGTCATGAAATGCTAGATGGCGCAGGCTGATTGACAGAAGCTGATTGATTCATTTTGCATACGCAGCCAATTAGCTCGCTGCTTTACATTTAAATGGCTGATTAGCATTTGCTTGAGCATGGCAACGCGCTTTCAGAGTTCCTCTGAAACCCTCCACCTTCCCCAGCTCCACCTGTATAGATCTGCTACGGGTTATTTTATATGCTATTTGTGCAGCAGCAGTATGTCTAAAATACTCACAGCACCATATCGGCTTATGTATTGGCAGTAGCAAGTTCCTGTACTTTTTTGCAGCAGCAGCGTAGCAGATCTATCCCACCAAGAACAAATACATTAACATTGTCAAATCCATTACCATGCTAAAAATCTTCCGAGAGTTCTCATGATAGAAATATATATATGTATATATATATATATATATATATATATAGGTACAGGCACAAGGACAAACTATAGTTTGGTTTATTTTTAGAATAGTACAGTAGGCATGAGTCGTGAGGACATACGGTTCGACAGCTATGAGGCAGTAACAACAGACTTCTCCCTTCAAAGCTTCATTCAGTTCACTTTCATTTGACCTTTCTTTGGCAACCATAACCAGCCGATTGAAGCACTGATATTCTGAATGAGAAAAAGTATCTACTGCTGCAAGATTTAGCACAGTATAAAACTCTTGAAAGGCATACAGCGAGAAAGCGTGGGTACAGGTGCAGTGATTGTGACTTACAGTATTGGCACAAATGTGTATGGGCTCCAGTGATTCAAGGCAGAGCATGACAGGTACAGCTGTACGTTACATTTAAACAGATCATCGTGTAAAACAGGTCATAACTTGCCTCAGTGTAACACCTCAGATCATATAGGGACAAAAGACAAAATATATTGAGAGAAACTTGTAGAAACACATGAGGCCCACATGCCATCTGGACCATCTGAATTGTTTTGTAGTATATTTTTGAACATCTATTTGTTATTGGATTTAACAAAAATAACACTTCTGAGACAAGGCATCATCACAGACGAAGGATCAGATCTGCAGGAGCTGCCATTATTGTTTGTAACACATTTTGTTCACAGACGAGATGGTCACTCTTCCTTCTTTAACTTGGTTATGTGTCTGAGTACCACAGGTGTGAAGTGTACAGCTGTGACTTTGATAACCCGCTGGTTTTTTCCTGAAATCAGTTCCTGTAGCACTCTGATTCAAAGCAAAAGTTATTCATGCACGAGACTGACTGCTGTGATAGACTTCCTAAAGTTCTGATCCTTACAAGCACCAGTAAACTTATCACCATCATACCATCAGGTCATATGCTGTGCATTTTCATGCCCCTATCATATGTCATACTGGATGATATATTAAATTCAAGTTTTGGAACACAAAGAATTGAATGTCTGAGCTACAGCTCCAAATATGGCAAAAGCACCATAAATGTAGCTTATTTAATTCCTCAGAAGTCATACAATAGCTTTGCGTGAAAAACAGACTTGATTTAAATCGCTATTATATTCGTTTGATTATTTTAACTATAACAGTGAAACCTTGCACTCATGAAAACATCCAAAAGTTGCAGTCAAGAAGCATTACGACAGGTGATCGACTGTGCCATATAGCAAAGTTTGGATGTATCTTTTTAAATGGCAACTTAAATTCTTCTATTTCTCACATTAAGTTGCCATCCTCAGAGCACTCAGATTGTAGCACATGAGCTTTTTTAAAGTGTTCAAGTGCCTGATATTTCTGAAAGTCTAAGTTTGAATTGCTGCGTAACAGGAATGACCCATTTGTGAGCTATCGTATATATGCATGCTACCATACTAGTTGAAGGAAAATAGCTGGTTTATTATCTGTTCTCCTGCAATACTGTCATTGCTTCTCAGCACAATCAAGTACTGTAATATATCACTGTCATCTGTAAAATATTTGGGATATCTAAATAGAAGTAGTAGTATTAATGAGTTAATGATTAAACTGCACTTTTGAATAAGATGTCTCGAGTCAATAATAAAGTGCAGGTAGTTGCTGTGTGAAAGTTCTTCAGCATTAAAAAAAGCAAAACGCTGTTGAAGACTGTATGAGGACTTTTAAGTGTGATGGTTTATATTGTTAATATAATCTAGTTTTGTACCATACGCTTAACACCCCTGAGCTAAAGTTTTGTTAAAAGTGGTCAAATATAGAAAATATCACTTTTGAGCAGCTTATAGTGAGGGGCTCAGTGTACATAATTTTTGGCACCCTCAATAATAAATGTGGGTCTTTCTTTTATGAGGGCAGGACATCTTGTAACTCTGTTTTATGCAGCTCATTGGGTCAACCTGAAAAAAATTAAAGCACTATGACAGATCTTTCAGACTCTAAACCACATATTGACAAGCAAATGAGGAGAGCAGACTTGTATCTATATTGTTTCCTACAATATGATGTGTAAAAAAAAAAAAAAAAGGATGATTTCAGCATGATACTGAATTGTGCAAATAAGTTATAATCTTCATACTTCATGTTCTAATACATAGATAATAAATATGTTGTGTTATATAGATCTCTTTTTCTGTTCTTATAGCTTTGTCCTCAAAAAACTGTCACTCAACCACCATCTGTCTAGGAACACAAGGGAGGGGCTGGCTAATCCACTACAATATGAGGCACTGTGTCCAAACATTATATCAGGTTGACAGGACCCTTTTGTCAAGCACGTTTAAAAGAACAAAAATATGGCGATTCAGGAGAGCCCACAGTCTGATGAGACCAAACCATACGGGTTCTAAACACCTCTTCAATTAAATGGGTTAATGACCCCTTCACTCCTGGGCTTCATTCTCACTTTTACCTGTGTGACAAAAAGAGACAGCTAGTTAATTTTCAATGTCAACCCTGCATACAGCAACAAACTCAAATGTAAAAGCATTAGATCTAGCACCTAATGTTTCTAAACTGTATCAACCATGTCTTTATGTTAACAGAACTGACCTCCAATGGAGTCCATGTCAGAGTCAGACACATGCGTAATGGAGAAACGAGAGACACTAAATCGGGAAAGCGGAGGTGCTGGTTTTTCATCTGGAGACTTGACAGGCGAGTTGGGTGGTGTAGCGATCTCTTCAGAGCCAGATTCTGATGTTGAAGGGCTTTGCATCAATGGAAAATCATCTTGCCACTGAAATGCCCCACCTATTTAGTGTGAGAGGCTTGTGAAATGTCACTAAACAAAATAAAAAAATCTAATCAATATAAAGGAATTGTTATTGAACACTCACTTTCTTCTGAGACATTCCTTCCTGGTGAATCCTCAGGGGAAATATCCCTATCCTGGGACCGTGGCAGCTCCACCTCTGAAGCCTGGCAATTGACTTCTGCCTCCACAGGAAAACTGTAGTCCCCAAGCTCACCCGTGGGGCTCTCCTGAGTCGATACACAGCAAGACACAGGCTGTGAGTTACATTAGCACTGCACAAATCAATGTATTTTCTGAAATGAAAAGAACATAACATGCTACTTAAAGGGTTAGTTCACCCAAAATGAAAATTAGCTTGTGTTTTACTTCTAATTCATGACCGGTGTTTTGTTTTGTTCTCTCTCCGCATTAGTCACTAATCACGCAACGCCGACGTGCTGCGTCTCCCGCCGGAACTGCATCAGTGTATGACAGTCAGCGGAAGTGAGAGAAAAGTGTTTATTACATTTGAAATATGGATATTTTTCTTACAAAAACACATGGATTTGCTACAGGGGGCCTTTATTCATCCTCCGGAGCCGTCTGCGGCACGTTTTATTATGAATGCGCGAGCTTTATTTGACGACTTGTGGACTGTTCAACTGCAACACCAGCTGACTGCAATGATAGAGCTTGGAATAGCCAGGACAATTTTTAATATAACTCCGACTGGATTAGTCTGAAAGAAGAAAGTCATATACACCTAGGATGCCTCGGGGGTGAGTAAAAGACAAGCTAATTTTCATTTTTGGGTGAACTAACCCTTTAATGCACTACCTCAATGCTACAAGAGATAATTCTACAAACCTGATCAAACAGAAACACAGTGACATCATCAAAGAATGACACCGCTTTTTTCTTGCTCTCCAGCTCATCGCAGAAGGACTGTGTCAGTATGGAGGGCATTTTGAGGAGGCTGCGTAGATGCCGTGCACTGCTGCGATCGCTCACAATGACAGGCACCACAGGGAACTCTTCATCACTCTGCTCCTGTATGTTGTAGCTACGAAGTTCTTCATCAGACTCATCACTATCCTCTGAATCCTCCTCATCCACCTTCTCTCCGTTCCCCTGTGGAGCTGGAATATCTAGATCTTCTGGCAAGGCTGGAAGAATATTCTCCAAAGATACATCACGCTTTGGTTTTGAAAGTGCTGAACCTATGCCACCTTCTTCCACTGAATCTTCCTTTTCCTCGTTGTTTCCAATCCATTGCTCCGGATTGTCCTGTTTGTTACAGGCCTCTTGCTCCTCTGCTTGGATTACCTCCCCACTTAAGTCTACTATGGTAGAGTCTGAGCCTAGAGACTCTGCTGAGGAAAAATCTCTGGTGTCTCCATTAGCCTGCTCCTCCACACCTGAGGCCTCCTGTGTTGAGGAAGAACCTTCAGACACTGTGGAAGAGTAGCATTCAGAGTTTGGTTCCTCTCCAGAGTGATCAGATTCCAGCCCAATACCATCATCTGGAGTTGACTCCTTGGTCAAGCAACCCCCCATCTCTGGAGGAAAGGGAGAAAGCATAGAAATCACTGGAACCAATGCAGGTGATGAACACAGATTTGGGCTTGTCTTTTTAAGACACAATTGTTTAGCATTAAGGGCTGCACTATTGTCCTTTGGCACAGATATGTCATGTCCCTTCTCACTCTCCATGTTACGTCCCTCTCTCCCAAATGTCTTTTCTGAGCCCTCCTTTTCTGCTTTGAGTTCAAAGACATCATCCTGATCTTGGCGGCTGAAGAACATGTGGACCCCTTCACTGGGGCTCTTGTCATTCTCCATGTCATAGTCAGAAAAATAAGCAGAGTCTCTGTACTGATTCCTCTCATCAAGGCTGATCAGTGGTAGATGACTGCTGGATGGATGCAGGAGGATTACATTGACATCTTCATCTAGGTCCATCTGGAGCAACATGTCACACTCGTCTGATTCTACACTAGTGCTAAGGGCTGGATTCCCTTCAAGGTCTTTCAAGATAAACTCTGGGGATTCATTATTCTCTGTTTCATACCCACTGTCTAAGGATTTCGGCTGAATGGGCGTGTGGTAACTATCAGGGCTGAAGCCCTCACAGGGACTGCTGCTAGAGGCAAGATTAGTTGTGTCCTCGCAGTGTCTGGACCCAGTCTCTCTCTGCAGTGTTCTATGAGTTAGGTCAATACTGCCCACCTCTGCATAGTCTAAGGGATAATCTGCTAGTACTCCAGAGGGGATGTCCATGCAGTCGTCTTTGCATTCATTAATTTTCACCAAATTTATACTGGAGTTGTCGGGCACCATCCTGCCGTCTGTCAAATGGTTACACTCTGAGACAGTCCTAGACAGATCCTTAGGGCATGACACCATTTTTCCACACACTCCAGCAGAACCATCAGTCCCAAGTTTCAGTTTTTGTGCAGGGGATATCCTTGTCTCAAGTAACACGTTTTCTTTAGTCACTACCAGCTCCGATGGAAGAGTTGATGGATTCATTCTGCCGCAACCTCCTACACGGAAGTCTGATGTATTGTTTTTGATATGTTTATGAGCAATGTTCTTCTGCCATGTATAAATATGCTGACTTTCTGTGACAGAATGACATTTGGAAGATGATTCAACATCCTGAGTACTGTCAGGGCTTAAATGTAGGTATTCACCACCCTCTGAGTCAGCGTGAGGGTTACTAGCAGTGGGTGTACTATCTGTGGCTTCCATGTATGAGTGGTCTTTGATTGAATCGATGGAATTATATGTACAACTGTTTCTTGTTTCCAATGCTCTTGATTTCAAATTCCCGACTTGAGAAGAGGGTGTCAGGTGATGTAAATCAAGGTATGCATCTCGAAAACCCACAGCTTGTGTACGATCGCTTAAACTGTTGTTGTTTGCTGAGTGGTTGGAGTTCCAATTAGTTAACATGTTCTGAGAAAACAGATCATCATCATCTTCTGGATCAGCACTCCCCCTCCCCAAAAGAAGGCCATCACCGGCGTCAATATCAATACTCATGTAGTGGGGTCTGGGCACATTCTTTTGTAAGGGGCCCATCATGTCATAATAGGCCTCACTGGCCATACTTCTTTCTACAGTTCTCTGGTTAGACTCAAGGTATGGGTCACAATGTGCCAAGCTGGGACTACTAAGAGAGATTGAAACTCCAAGTGGGCTTTCCTTTACCACCTCCAGTCTATGGCAGAGGCTTCCCGACCCTCTTCTCTGCTGATCAGAGTTTGAACCATGCCCTCTTATCAAATGAACATCTGGCCCTGCTTGAGGTGACTGTTCACACTGTAAATTGTGCCTGTCATTGGAAGAAAAATAAACTTCTGACTGGTCTATCTCTACCGAGCTTGGAACTCTTCTGTGGAGTGGCTCCGTGGTTAGGATACTATCTGAATCATAATCATTACTGATGGGTTCTTTAGCTGCTGACCAGTAGGTGTTTGGCTGAGACCCAATGGGGCTCCTCCTGCCTGTAGAGGACAAGCTACTGTTACTGGCTTCAAGTCTTGGGCTGTAATCAAGATTGGTGTCTTCTAAGTTGATGTTGCAATCAACTGGCTCCTCAATGCGGATGTAGTACTCACTACTTACTGAGGGGCTGTGTGCACTTAGCACTGGAACCACACCTGGATCGTCTGACACATAGAAGGATGGAGAAACCCCAAGAGGGAGGCTCTCACCCTTGCAGCTACCCGTGGAATTGCTAAGAGGGTAATACACATCCTGGTAATGGGGATTATTCTTTCCCAATGGTCCACTAGCTGAAGAAGAGCAGTAGGGCTGCTGAGCTCGTGCCTGCTCCCATTTATACTCAAAGTTGAGACCCTGGCTGGTCTCAGTTACTGTCAATATATCATCCCCATTCTCAGACTGGAAGCTTTCTGCCATAGAGAAGTGTTCAAGTAGAGGAAATGAGGAAGAAGTAGAAGAGGCTACTTCAGGTGTCCTGTGAGGTGTCCTGTGAGAGCTGCTGGAGCCCAGACTTGGCCTAAGAGAGTTCCAGCGCTTCTCAAAGTCCTCCTCAGACTCAGTTGCACCCTTAGCACACAGGTAGTCTAGCAGTAGATGGACTTCCTCCACAACAGGCCTCTGCTCAGGCTGCAGCCAACAGAACTGCATTACCTCATACCTGCTCACACACGCAACAGAAAAGCCAATATTTTAGACTATAAACTAATGTTTATAAGAAACAGAATTGGTTGATTGTAAATGATTACAATAGAATAGGGCCAAAAACTACATTTTACTATAGTTTGATAATGCTCTTTTATCAATGCTCAATTATCTTATTGTTTTATGGGTACTTAAAAATGGATGCTAGTATGGACGATAGCTAGAAACCCATTTGTGATTATATGAAATATGAACAGTTTAGCATGATTGTAGCCTTGCAGACTTAAAGTGGGGTCATTCATTGTTTAGTATCCAGTGGGGAATGGAGTGGTATACTTGTATGCATGACTGCTCTTGATTAAATGGACAATGATTGGAGTGTGTGGGGGTAAAATTAATGACTGTGTGCGCCCAGGACTGGATCAATGTATGATTGATGGCCTTACAGAGGGGGGAAATTAATGATTGACCACACTGGATTTGAGGAGTATTGATTTGTTGGTCCTGCCAGAGGAAATGGCAATGACTGGTGCAAGGCACCTGTGGTTGGAAGATATTGATTGCTTTACATGTATTTAAAAGGAATGCAATTGGAGGGTGTGTCTCTGGAGGGTAACACTGATTGGTTTGGATGTGGTGATTCCGATTGGCAGACGTAAGGGTGGGTGGTTCATGATGATTATGATCAGAGTAAAAAAAAAAAAAAACGTAGAACACAGCAAACCGTCTGTTGGTTGGAAATTTGTTTAAAGTGCAAAAAGTATGGAGCTTAATTTTTACACATATATAGTATGTCACAGGGCAGAGGCTTTTTTTGTTGATTATGCTTTTTTTTTATTCCAAAGTTTCTGGGAACTTTCACAGAATTAAGAAATATACTTCAGGATATTGTAGGCTGCAAATTTTGATTATAAATTTTACCTTTTTGAAAGGTGCTGAGCTTGTGTGTTGTGCTGAAGCTTGTCAAAGTCCAAGATTATCCTTGAAAGCATAGCTTATCTCTTCTTGGATAAGCCAAACATTACCAAAATTGAGTATCCAAATAAGTAAATTCTGCATTCACCATTTGCAGTGTCCTGATCATTATACTGAGTTCACCTTTGCACTGAAGTGACATTTTAGTGCACATATTTTGGCATATTTTATATACAGGTTTATCTTTAAAAATTAAGCTGAAAACCTTAATATAACAATTTAATACAAAATAAATCTCCTGTGACCTCAAGGTAGAGAACCTCTGTCCTCTGTGTTTTTCTCTGATTTATTTCTCACCAGACATTGCTGGACTTGGTTTGGTCCACTACTAAGAGATTGCCGTGGACTTCATCAATAAGTTCTGGGGCAATCCAACGTAGAGGAACCCATATTTGATCTGCTGTCACATAATAGTCATCCTAACAGAGGGAAAGTATGCATTGATATTGAATAAGAAGAAATAATGAGAACATGTCAAAATAATAGGATCAGTGTGGCTGCAATCCAAAAAGCCTTCACAGACTCACCTTGTACTTGCTGTGGCTGAGGCCATAGTCTCCAATTTTCACTGCCAGCTCTGAGGTCAACAGGCAGTTCCTTAGGGCCAGGTCACTGAGAACAGGACAGAGTGGAGCAATGTTTGCATCATTTATAGTTCCTGTCACTGGCAAACTTTCATGACAGAGTGACAAAGGAAGTCTGCAGTGTCATCTAACATTTTCTTCATGGGTGACTTACAAATAATTGATGATGTTTGTTGAGCAAGGGGTTTTCCCCCAGCAACAAAATCACTGATGCTGGAGTCTGTGACATGTACTCAGGCAGCACCAGGATATTGTTGCCAGGAGACACCAGAGCTGGACGTCCAGTGAGCGGCGGGTGGATCAATATGCGGGGAGAAGGCCAAAGGTTACTGGATCCTCACCTGTGAATGTAATTGTGTTTGTGAAGGTACAGAAGACCAGAAGCTATCTCGCATGCCATCCGCTGAAGGATCAAAGGGTCAGGAGTCACTGAGTCTGCTGCCCGACAGCTACGGAGGTATCCTTTAACATCTCCCTGCATAAAGTAAACACCATTCTTAAGGACAACACAAGAATGCTAATCTGTGTTATCATAAAGTCCACTACCTTTTTGCTGCCAGCAACTGTAATTCTGGTCGCATTGTGTCAGTTTCTAACAACTTCTAATATGACCAGCAGAGGGAGCATTAAGCTGTTTAATTAACCCTATGCTAAGCTCCGGATGCTCAGACCAGCTTTACAGAAATGAATAGAAAATGTCAGTGAGCAGCATGTTTTCAGTAAATGTGCTCATAAAGTAAAAAGTTATATTATAAGAATATTATCCTTTTCTGTCTTAGAATGAAACAATGTTTTTTTTTCTTTAAATTGTTAAATTATGCAATAAAATTATTAAAACTGCTAAAACTGTGAAATCAGAATCAAGACAAACACCTATGCCACACTCAAATAAAAAAGCCTAATTTGATGGTGATTAGAACTGTTTTGAACATTTTGACAACATCCTCCCTATGGTACTGTGAACTCTTTAGGTACTATTACCTATAGTATACTTAAAAATCAATAAATATGATACATTATAGGAAAGTAATAAACATTACTTGGAGAAACTGTAGATGTTATTGCACATGTTGCATGATCATTTTGGAATTGAGGGTGACTGTTTAATACACAGCATGAACTATATAATTATTTCATTTTTTATATAAAAATGAAAATGGTACAAAAAAAAAATACTGCATGCATCCTCTCTGTGTTCCTTGTGTCACTATTGTAAGTGACCTGGCAACAAACTTTTATTTCTGTATTATTTTGGATTTAAAGACTATCCAAATTCTCCATAGACTTACATGACAAAAGAACAAAAATCTGATTATACTCTATGGCAAGAGTTGCTAAGCTCGGATTGGTCAGTAACATTTAGAAGGTGTGGCTTAAAGAATGGTCAACTGGACAGCACAGAGCCACTTGGATTCAAAAAAACTCATGTGGTTTGTAGTTTCTTGCTTTCAAAACAATACTTATAAAATAAAGGTGTAATTCAATGCATTGTTTAATAATGGATATATTATAAAAATGGCATGTTAAAAAGATTGCTGACTGCTAGTATAGACTCTAAAGGGTAGTCAAACTAACTCAGAGTATGTTCTGAGTACAGTGGGTGAAGCAGTTGGTACTCAGTGGCTTACCAGGCGGCAGTGCTCCATAACCAGCAGGTAGGGCGTGATATCTGAACACTGGGACAGACACTGCAGGAGGGCTGGATGCTGGAGCAACCTGTGGGATTCACACACTCAAACATTAAAAACACTGCTCATTTGAGAAACCGTTTAGTTACACATTCCAAATAACAGCCATTGTTAATGTTGTTTTTATTTTGTGCCACCAAAACCTCTTTCACACAGAGATTTCGGAAAATACATGGATAATTTGGGATTGTTTGATTTTGGTTCATTCACACTGCCATTGATTTTCCGGAATCTGTGCGCGTGTTCACACACATCCCGTGAAAATCCCGTAAAGACACGTGACATTACGATGTGACATGCAATGTGACGCGTACCGTTCCACTAAGCTGGCGAACAATCTCAGCTTCAGCGGGGATAGTGTGGAGCTCACTTATCAGTGCTTCATTCCAGTTTGCACATATTTTTTTCGTCGTCAATGTTGATCTGCCTTCAAAACACCCAGTAAAAGAGTGCGTCATCACTACGACACACCCTTTATGGCAATGGTCCTGCATTTTTTTCACACAGGGCTTGTTCCGGGACTGATCCCGGCAATGTTACTATGTCCCCATCCGTGTTTGCGTTCACACAGAAGGCACTCTGGCAATTTTCCGGGACGCACTGTGTGAAAGGGGCTCAAATGAGATGTATTGACACAAGTGTAATATAGTTCAGCATACAGCATAAGATAACATAAGATGAGGTGGAGAGAAAAAAAAATGGAGTAAGAGGAAAGGTGTGTACCGGTAAGGCTGGACCTCTTCCAGGAACTGCATCTGCTCCTGTACACTGGCACTGGCCTTTAGCTCCTTAACTACCACCTGTGTGGTACTGAGTCCAACATTCACCGCCCCCAGCAAAACCTGAAAGCCAGCCCAAACTGCACATTAGCATAGCTCACACCTGCCACCTGTGAAACTGGCAGCATAGATTTTAGAGAGTGTGCCATTTATCTAAAACTGTTCATTTAACAGTAGCTCATAATGAGAATATGACAGCATTACACGTACACTGTACTGTGTGCAAAGTCAACCCCATGAGTAGGGTACTCAAAAACACAGCTATTTTCTCAGGGCCACATCACGGTATCGTTTGGGTTGTAAAAGGCCTCACCTTGCCAAAGCAGCCCTGTCCCATTTCTTTTATGTAGAGGAGGCTGTGGCGTCCGAGATCTGTAGACTTCAACAGCTGAACTGAGGGAAACAGAGAGAAAACATACATTCAGAGTTGGCAGAGACATACAAATGGATGAACTGAACACACAATGAGCGGTATGAAAGTGGCCAAACATCAAGGAAGAGAGCAATATCCAGGGAGAACCATGGTTATCTCAAACTACCTCTTCTACTAGCACACCAAGATTCAAAATGAAAGAAATTAACACAAAACTTCAGACACTTTGGACCCACCTTGAACCATCGTAATTTAGCAGATAAGCTTGGATGTCGAAGATATAGACGTAGAACAGCTCTCTTTGTCTGGCAAGAAACCGTAGGATGAAGGTCCAACAATGCAGTGGAATGAAGGTGCCATACTTCTCCAGTTCCCCATGTCTCCATTCATAAGCCAGGGGTTTAACCCTCCAAGCCCTCGGACAGCTGAGAAAGCAGCGCTGTCTGTCTTCCTTCCCAGCGACAGAGCGCATCTCCTCGCACTGAGATACGGCGTCCCACAACATTCCCATAATGCACCCGATTGGAACTCTCAGCTGGAGCCAACTCAACTCAAAGCTCCAGTAAAACTAGCGACTCCGGCTGAGATCAGTGTTTAAAGTGCCAAGTGTCCGACCAGGAGCTGGACGTATGTCTGCAGTGCAGCTCGGCACATGCCAAATGCGTCTGCTCACGCAAGTAATGCCATGAGCACATAATAAGCCTCGCTCCTCTGCCCCCTTCCCTCTGTCTGTCTCAGCAAGACTATGGGGGCAATTGTAAACAAATAAAGCACTGTGAGCAGCAGAAAGACCTCTGTCATTAACACGAGCCCCCCACACACCTCCTCCTGCGCTACCAGCAGGTCTCAAAGTGTGTGTGTGTGTGTGTGCCTCACAGACCCATCCCTGTATTAATGCACTAAACTGTTCTCCTCCTCTGCAGCGTTCCAGAAGCTTCTCATTCCAGCCCCTCACACTCCCCGCCACAGTTACATTGCAGCTTTTGTCCGCAGAGCAGCAGCGCCTGGTACCCCAGTACCAGCCCAGACACAAGGCCCATTCTCTGCCACTCAGAGCCCGGATTGTCATAGCAATGACCCCCCCATTTCTGACACACAACTATCTCTCTTTTCTTCAGCAGACTTGAACTGGCCTTTTATATGATTTCTGTGGAATCTGTGAGTTGTGCATTCCCGTCCCACTCCTGGCATTCCCAGAGCAGCCCTGGGCCATGTTAAAATTGCATTAAAACGCAGCACAGTTGCACGAGAAAACTCAGGCTGGTCTACGATTGCACATTGACTAGAAGAGAAATTCTACTTAATATGTCGACAAAACGCTTCAGAATGAGTAAAATTGCCAACTTAAATGGATAAGGAGATTTCAAAAGTGCTAAGATGAATTATTTTATGTGAACTTCTAATATGGAAAAGAAAATATGCATACTGTACATCAAATTTTGTGATTCATGTGTTGATTCTGGTATAGAACCAGCGTGGTAAGTAAACAGGGCTGTGCTGAATGACAGTATTTACCATGCAAAGGTAGAAATGTGTCAGCCGGTAGATTTTAGTATACCGTTTATATGTATTAGGAAGGAAGGCATACATTATTTACATTAAAGAGAGAGATAAAGAACATAGAGTGATGTGAAAATAGAGAGAATAATAATAAATAATGAATATATAATGCAAAGCTGTTTTTTGAATAGATGACAGACTTGTAATTTATTTATTATCATCCTTTGTCCATCAAGTTCTAAATAAAAAGAGAACTTAATCTAATCAAATGTGTAGCTTTAAAATACAAGTATTTAATTTACTATATCACCACAAATAGGCATTACCACATGGTTATTAAATATATAAACAAAATTAAATGTATATATTAAATATAAACTAAAATAATATATTGCAAAATTAAAGTTACTGAAAAAATAATTCATCCATGCACATCGTTATTTAAAAAGTTCCTAATCTTTAAATCAAAGAATTAACATGCAATCTCAGCAATTAGAAAACAATCGAGAAACCGTTTCACACGGATGTACAGTACATCACAACAGGGACAAACAGAAGGTCACAATTTCCCTTTGATGTTGAATTTATATTGTGATGTATACAATTATGATTAAAATATTTATATTCTGAATACATGCTGTTCTTTTTAACTTTTTATTCATCAAAGAATCCTGAAAAAAATATTTGGTAGCATAACTGTTGTCAACATTGAAAATTCTAATAATAAATGAGCATATTAGAATGATTTCTGAAGGATCATGTGACACTTTAGACTGGAGTAATGGCTGATGGAAATTCAGCTTTACGTCACAGAAATAAATTATATTTTAAAGGATATTAAAATAGAAACCATTGTTTTATATTGGAATAACATTTTGCAAGATTACTGTTTTTTCTGTATTTTTGATCAAATAAATGCAGCCTTGATGAGCTTAAGAGATTTAATTAAAAAAACATTACAAGTCTTACTGATCCCAAACTTTTGAGCGGTAGTGTAGATGTCTACAGTAGGCAGTTTAGGGCCATAAATGTGATCCCCCTCTTTCTCTGATTCTCCATGCTCGACCTCTTCCAGAATGAAGCTTATGTTGCAGTCAGTGAAAACCAGTAAATATAGTTTAGGAATGAAAGAACACCAGGGACATTCATGTGTGGGGGTTTACTCCATTTCATTCAGTCAAGTGTTAATTTCCAACTCTTTGCATTAATATAACACGCAGAAGGATGAAGGGGGAGGACGGAAAAGGAGCGGTTCAACCATGACCGAGCCCTTCTCAATATCATGAGGGACTCGGTGCTACCCTCTCGCTCTGCAACACCTGGACCAATCACTTGGCCGTAACCACGGGCGACGAACAATCCAGAGACTATTGGCTGACACCTAAAACTCTTGTCCAATCCCTGCCTGTGTTTCAACCCAGCATCGCGCTGTCTTCCCCACCCTCCCCTGATGCTCTATGCAGACAGAGCACATGAGTCATAGGGAGAAAACCTGACTTGCACGGCTTCATCCACCGCCAGCTTCCACATAGGCAGTCATTGAGCAATTGGATTTGACTTGATGTAAAATCAAATGTAGTACATTCAGTAGATTTTTATCATTCCAGAAGAAAATGTTAATGTTGTTTACCTGTGTAAAACTCACTGCCATTATAATAATTAATTAATAATAATAATTTATGCATTTAGCAGACGCTTTTATCCAAAGCGACTTACAGTGCATACAGGCTATACATTTTTTACCACTATGTACCATTATGACAAGACATCTTGAGTGGTTGCCAGGGTGTTGCTATGCAGTTGTTAAAGGGTTAGTTCACCCAAAAATGACAATTCTGTCATTAATTACTCACCCTCGTGTTGTTCTAAACCCGTAAGACCTTCGTTCATCTTCGGAACACAATTTAAGATATTTTGATGAAATCTGAGGGCTCTCTGACCCTCCCATAGACAGCAAGGTAACTACCACGTTCAAGGTCCAGAAAAGTACCAAGATGATCGACAAAGTAGTCCGTGTGACATCAGTGGTTCAACTGTAAAGTTACGAAGCTACGAGAATACTTTTTTGCACAAAGAATACAAAAATAACGACTTTATTCCACATTTTCGTCTCTACGGCGTCACTTGTGGACGCGTGTTCATGACAGTACCATGACGCGAGTGTGTGGCGGCGCCATCACGCGCTCGCGTCAATGGTACTGTCGTGAACGCGCTTATTTTAGTTTTTTTTGGCTGTATAGGCTGTAGCCTATTTCCAGCTTAGGCGTGTTCTCCATTTATTTTTAAATTGTATATATAGTGTTTGAATGACAGCTTGGTTAATCCGTTGGCGATCAAATATTCAATATCGCTACTCATCATAAGTACTTGGATTGGCTCATTTTTTTTACCAACGGAGGCACGAGAGCTCAGCGCTCACCCGGCCTCCCGCTCCCCTTCTCTATCATTTAGCGGTTGTAATTACATCAGCAGATTCAGCACATTCGCGATAGAAAAGCGTCACTTTCCAACTTCAGTAATATGTTGTGGTATTACAGCTGTGAAATTACAAACAAAAAATACACATTCTGAGACATGAACTGAAATGAATTGTGAATTTTATTAACATTAAATCATCCTCCTCCCATTTTCACCTCAAAATTTTGGGGAAGCTGTGCCTCCCC